GCTCAAATAAATATATGGTACGAACGCCGTACGTATGGCACAAATAGTAGTCTGATCCGACTATCGGAAGGAAAAATCGGACGTGTATTCCCGCACTTACGAAGCTAGGCTGAAGGGCTGAAGACAGGCGCCGTAATTTCAAATTTTATTCTATTTTATTTTTAGTTCTCCGAGCAGTTGGAGTATTGTCCATTGGAGTATTGAGTATTGCCCAAGCAGTGGGAATAGGCACAAAGTTCACTAGTTTAAGTAGTTTGAAAAACTTAATTTATCGTAGCTGTTACTCCGGCGACGACGTCGCGGCGCACAAAGAGGCGCAACGCACCCGGGCGGCGTCACAGTGAACGCAACAAGGACCTTCGTAATAGCAGGCCTGCAATGTACACAGTGGCACAACCAGAAGCAGGAACGGTCGCCTATGTCATCACTATGCACTGTGCCAAAATACTTTCTTAGTTTCAATTCAAAACTTTACAGTAACGTTGAAAATCACAGTAGATTGTATTGCTCATGTCTCTCGTAACGTCAATTTATTCAAGCTGTTCTACAAAATCGACCACAGTGTTGTCTAAAGCGATATGAATCACAAGAGAACTCCAAGAAGTTATAAACTACCAATTCTTTTCAACTTTTCATAGCCCGAAACTCCATTTGTAACAAAACCAACATTTTTTTTTATAATGTCGGGTTCTTGGATGTGAAAATAAGAACACTGATCTTGTAGTAATTTGAATATTCACTAAAGTGACTCAAGTTTTGTTTACAAGTTTTGAATACAAAGTTTTTATAAGCGGAACCGCCATGACATTAAAAAAAAAATTTCACCTTTGCTCTCATATTGGTTAGCGGAGCTCGCAGGCGCCGCACTATGGGAAAAGTAAGAAAAAACATGGCCAAAATTACGCTTGAAAACAAATTGCGTTTTTTAGAGTTATTTTAAGTTTTGTGATATATTTCATATAATTTAAGAATAAGCAGAATTCATACTTATGAATAACAATAACAATTTATTAATTTTACAATGCAAAATTATGATTATAATGCAGATAAATCACGCTTTTTGGCAAATGGATAGACAGAACATCAGCTTTTCACTTGTTATGGTCCTGGCATACAACATTCGCATCTTCGACGTTCATATCGCAACTAACAAAAATAAGCCAAAAAAATAATTAAAAATATGTCCTGTACATAATTATACTGATAAACTACTCCTACAAATAGGTACATATAATTGAAACTAACTTGATTATTTTCTAGTAATTTGCCGCAAACAATAACACAATGTAGGTCAACTTCACTTCACTAGGTCACTTACATTTGAATAAAAAAAACCTTTTGTAAACGTTAACATAAAGTCTAATAAATGCTCTTTCAGGAAATGAGCTATTATTGATCCGGAAATAACCGGAAACATTTTAAAAATCGCGAACTTGGAAATTTTCTTTAAAAAAAATTAAGAGGGAGCAGAGGAAAAATTCCTAATCTTCGATTTGATTTTAGAGGGGTATATCCACTTTAAAGTTAAAAATAAAATATTGTATGAGTAACTACACGATATATTCAAGCAAAGACATTAATCAGACACATAAAACCATTGACTTACAATTATATGGACGTCGGGTCCGCGCTAAAAAGTGTCCGCACTTGTAAGGCGCTAAAATCGTATACAGAGCGCGACACTCCGCTTTAGCTTCATTTGTTCTACGGACAGCGCGATACTGCGATGACATAACAATTTAAATTTCGAATAGGTTGACTTGGGACATTTTTTTCGTGGTTTTTGTATTAGAACCGTCGTCCATTTATTTGTAAGTCAATGCATAAAACAATAAAGTTTCCTCGATAGATAAAAATCACGAAATGACCTCTAATTTTCACATTTTTTCGATTTATCCTCGAAATGTTACAGGTTATTAGGACAAAAATTAGATAATTAATTATATTTATGCATGATCGACAACTGTCACTACGGATTTTTTTAATCCCTTTAGTTTTAGAGTTATTCCGCTAAAACGAATTTGGTACTTTTAATGCGCAAAATTCAACATCTCTTGTCGCATGTCACGCGAACTTCAGGCATATATTTGTTTCACAAATTTGGGCGGAGCCAACGTCAAAACTTTTTTGGCATGCTCCCTCTTAAAGCTGCTTGAATATGTGCCATGTTGTGGCAATTAATCTATTACAATCATTGACTTACAATTATATACAATTTTATATTTATTGTTACGTACTTGTGGTTGGGACGTTCTTGTTGTGGAATTTGTAAAAATAAAAAACAAAACAAATCGAGAAGTTTGAAATTTGAAAAAATCTAACTAAGATAATTGTAATACTACACGCTCTAATAAAACTTTGTATACTTTAAAGTGCCACTTTTAAATTTTTTAAATGTGGTCAGGTTTTACTCCCTTTTTCTCTTAGTGCGCTGTCTCACAGCGGAATGAACGTGGGGGCGCGCGAATTGTAATGTCGCCACAACTCCTGGATAGAGTTGGCGAAAGACCACAAAATTTTACTTTTGTAGAATGTGACAGCTTTTTTGAAGACTATAATAATAATATGAGAAAACTCAAAGTCATGTGGGATCGAGCGTCCGCTCACGCTTGGAAAGCAGAATTGTTTCCGCGAATCAGCACAAGCACATCGACGAGTCGACGAGTCATGGTGAGGAGAACTTCACGTGAGAGTGAACGAGACAACAATAATATTGTGAATTGTTGAATACTCTCTAAAATTATAGTATAAAACCGAATATTGCGCGCATGACCAATGAAGCTCTAAAATGATCGGGTTATTTAGAAGCTAGTAACTGGGCTATCGGGTCTCAGGTGCTGTTCGGATCATTTTGATTCGAACAGCACCACTGTCGGACTCACATCTACTTCATGTAGCCAATTTCCAAGCAACCAATACGCGACGGATAGATATTGGTAAGTGCATGAATCCTGATGCTAATGTGTAGGATAATATTGTGCTCCAGGTCACAATCTGGGTAATGTAAGTACATAGACTCCGCCGTGCATCAGATCTGCATGTTCGTGGGGAACATCAGATGAGTTTTCTTGGTCAATACAAATGATGTGGAGATTTTGAGTGCTAGTCTCCGATACTAAAAGGAACGATATGCGTTGTTTACACAATTGACTTCATTTAAAAAGAGCAAACGAGCTGGAGAGGGCAGTTGGACGAGACGATACAATGCTACTTCTATCCGACAGGGTTGGAACTCACTGGGACGCTCAAACTCAAATGGAGCAGCATCCTGGGATTTTTGCGTGGTAGAGCAATTTCTTATAAGTGGGTCTACTTTACCTTTTGCTACCTTTTGGAGGTAGCCCCATATTCGGATACTACATTCCGCAGACAACATCAAACGCCGAAATCGATCTGCAAGTGAATCTTTAACAACCTCAGCCGGAACAGGATTTACATCTCTTGGGGCTTGGTTTTGCTCTACACGGCCTAAGCATAATAATCGATGTTAGGTCTTGCGCGAGAAAACTACTGTAAAAATCTTTGGAATGGGAACGACATCAACCCTTATAAAAAAACACCTGTTGCTACGTTTTCAACATAGATTTAGTATATAGGGTTTTGAATTAATTATCTGTGATTCTAAGTCAGCAAGAAAACTTGCAAATACTCAATATTAGATTGTTAAACTTTAGGCAGTTTGGGAAATTTGACTAGCCAACGCTTATTCCAGCGTGGACAGTAAAACACCCTTATAACTTTTGAACGGCGGACCGACTAATTCTAGTTTTTTGCGACTAGAACCGACTAAACAGCGACTTTTTTCTGGCTACCCAAATTTTCCAAACTCGACTATGGTCGCACTGGAATAAGGCACAGCTTTACGCATTAATCCCAGACCCTGAAAGTTTGCACATTTGCAATCTTCCGCGGCCTGGGAATTACATAGTGAGAGGCGATACAAGCGTCTGAGAACAGGAAACTACTCAGGCGTATGGTTACGCGGGTTGCTGGAATGCCATTTGGCCCGCTAGGTTTATTCACGTCAATCGCAGAGTTCTAGTTCTAGAAATAAGGTAGTAAATAAAATAGTGTTAAATATTTTATATTTTTTATTAAACTTTCTCCTTAGAAATCCATCGATTGCTAACATAATATAGAATAGAACGTACATAGAAGCCAAATGTGATATACATAAAACATTACTTACTTACCATGTTTTATATGACAGCTAACAACAGTATCGAAGTATGGACCGCGTTTTAACATCATAAGTAATCCACAACACACAGCTATGCGATGGATCTTTGTTTTTATTCGGTGAATGGCAGAATATGGAAACGGCAGGTTCTTTTAACGGCATGTGCTGTTGGTATAGTTTCAATGTATTTTTTAATCAAGATTTTTTTTAACATACTAATCTTACTGCATTAGCTTTGTTACCAATTTAAAAATTGAAAAGCAGTATTTAGATATGTCAAAATAATTGTAATGAAAACTGGCGAGTACCTTTTGGACTCAGTGTAACTTGTAATAGTTTTTTTAGTCACTGACACTGGCGATGATCGCCAGAATTTTAATGTTATTGTTATAAAACTGACACTGGCACAAACCTAGTGGCCGCTGTATAGTAAATAATAATAACTTTCTAATAGTAGCGTACTGACTTTTGACATCAGTGGTACAGCTGTGAAGATTCAGGAGATTCAGTGTTGAAGAATTAAAAACATTTTGCAATATGTCGAAAGTTCAAATTTATGGTACCTATTGGTATTATTTATATTCCTGTTTTACAGACGACAGATTAGTTATTACTAGAAATCAAAGTTAAAACGGAAGGATATATAAAAATAAATAACTTTACAATATTAATTTAATTGAAATATATGAATACTGATCCATCGCATGGCTTCCATACTGCAATCAACACTAGGTGGCGAACCATACACAACGAACGAAACAAGGTCGTAGAAAACTAATAAAGAAATAGTAACCATTAGTAATACACAAGGCCGGTGTAAAATCATCAGAATACATGATTATTTTAATAAATGTACAATTAGCAAAAGAACCTAATTTAAGCAAAAGTGACAATGTTATACACTGTTATTATAAACAATAAGGCTTGTTTACCACAGCGTCGTTATTCAAAATACGTAATTATGATTGCACATTTAATTATGCATGTTACTCGTAGTTTGTAGTTTAGATTATATTTAACAATTGGTGTTACAAAAGGTGCTTCCCAGTTGTCAAGCTTACCAAAACGCCGGGGTTTTCAAATAAAATTTACAATACTGTCAACTCCGCGTTCGGTATGTGAACCATAATGAAAGGCAAACTGTGAAGCCTAGCACGACTTTACAAATAAGAGATTACTATTTTGCCTTGGAGTTGATCTCTATAGCAGAACATCGATTTCTGATTGTAAAAAATGGGACGCATCTATTTTACGCGACTGGTTTTTGATAAACCAGATTCGTAGTAGTCAAACTTTAAAACAATCCATTCAGTGTGCTATCACTTATTATATAATAGAAAAAATATACTTTTGCTAATCGCTACAGTAAGCCACACCTTTGTAATACCTTGTAGGTATGATAGCTATAATTGAATGAAGCAAAAATAATATACAGGGTGGAAATTTGAGACGGATCAGCGAGGCCAGCAATTTTAGCTACAGGAAAACGACCCCTGAAGACTGCATGAATTTTGAAAGAGTTACATACATACCAAATACACTTCATTACCCTTTCCCATCGGGACAGGAAGAGGCCACAAACCTTTGAAGGTATTTCGACTGGCATTCACAATTTTGAAAAAATTTAATAGTTAATAAGGCAATTTTTACAAAACTGATTTCATGCCATTCGCTCCTGTTACAATCTGTCTCTTTAGAATCAAATACTTGGCCTCTGTAGGACCAAGTGAGGTCAGCTTTTCTGTAGCTATAAACATTTATCTCCAATTTCCACCGTTTATATTACGTTCACATTGTGTTATAGGAATACAAACAAGTACGAGTCGGTACATAAATATGACAATTTCATAATAATATTATAGTATAATAAAGACTGATCGTATAATGTGGAACATTCGTGTTACTATAGTACACCCTATTACACTATACATAAGGAATAAACTATTTAAAAATGGCGAATTTCCCATTAAAGCCACTTCATGAAAGCAATTGATTTAATATAATATTCCTAGGTTGAAATACATCTGTATAACAAATACAAATTTAATACATTGTACAAATAGAAGTAGCGGACTCAGATTGTTAATATGATATTATTGATTATAAACTGAGTATAAATTAAATAAGGAAACAGTAGCAAAATTAAAACGGATATTTTATATTTTGAACGCTAACTACTTATAATACAAAAGTTTATGCATACAGTAAATAACTTATTAGTCCAATAACTAATTGTTTGTAATTGTATTAAGGTAAATAAATACTTTAAGGAGTAGTAACTATAGGTGTTAGTTCAATATTACAGACGTTTCGTAAAATCTCAACACATTGTTTGGTAACGGGTGACACGAGTAATAAACGAGCTACGACGTGAGAGTCCAACTAGAAAGATAGTATTACGCAGAGTGTAAAATGTCAGATTGAAACGTTAATCATCATTAAATCATTCATATTGGGCCAACTTTCAAGTCAGATGTTTAGACCCCAGTTCTGCTTGATGTCTGACAACAACAAAAAAAACCAGTCATTAAACGCAAAAACTGAAACTATAAATATCTATCTATATATAAATATCCTTAAATTGTTATGTTTACCTTAATACACTGTTATTTGCCTTAGTCGAGTTACATTGTTAAAACGAAGTGTTCGAGGGGAATCACTAGATCTGCTAGTTAGAATTGAATTTTTTAAAATACTGACTCGACTATCATGATATGATTCTTCATTCCGTTTACTGTATCCCACTTCGTACACTTCTGCAAATGTTAATTCCTGAAATAATTTTTCCGTTGTAAAGTACTTGTAATCCGGTTACTATTTTTGTTGTGATGTATCAAGTCGTACTGCAAATTTCCGAGTAACACTACTCGTCTCTGCAGCAACCAAAATGGTTGGAGATGTAAACGAATGTCAGTGTGATAATTATCACGGATACGAAAACATTATATCGTCGTCTTAGAGTGAATATCTCGCATACGCGTTTTAACATAGTTCGTTTTTATTAATTTTTGTTGAAGAAAAACTTGTAAACTTCTTGCTCAAATATATTATTAAAGTAATATAGTATCTGAAACAGGTATAATGTAACCAATTAAAACGCTAACTACAAACATTATTACACCACGTTTTAATCTTCGTCCTGAACAATTACATAGAAATCAAATTACATCATCATAATATTCACTCTAAGATGATCATATGAGCCATTTTGAAAAACTCTCAATACTAAACTCATATATTTCGCAATAGTTCGTTTTCAAGTTCTTTTTTATCACTGGTTATGTTCAAATGGCATAATCTTTCATCTACCTATTTTAAATTCAGTCCGAGTAGTATAGTTGCCAATGCACGCAAAGGCGAATGCAATTTTTAATAAAATCTATTGCAGCCGCAATATAGTCCCTTGTCTCTATTGGTCCATCGCCGTTGCTAACGGGCGGTCGGTCAATTTGATTTACAGAGACAAGCCAAATTTTCTACGCAAGTTTGTCACTTTCACCAGTACACGTTTACAACCGAAAACTAATTTCTTTAATAAAAACATCACAAAAAACAAACTAATAATTATAAAAGGTAATTGTAATACGCGCTGCGCAATAGACTACTGTTACACAGCTACTAATACACAACCTGTCAGTGATACTACCGAAAAGATCTGATGATGATGGTACGCTTTTAATTAATAATAATGAATAACAGTAATTCAATTACTCCCGGATTCTAATGATATATAATTTTAATCCACTCTTTACCTCAATTTTAAGGAAAACGATATTTATTTAAATATGATTTTTTTTTAAGTAATGTGAAGATAATTATACAAGCGAGTGATTATGACCGTTAATTATTTTCTGCTCTTAATTAGCAAAATAAAAAGCTACGAATGGTAATTGCCAATCTTGGTATAATTGCAATATAGAATTGCAAGGATTGCAATATAAATGCATTAATAATTATTATAAATTAGTTTCGTCTCTGTAACACACTGCTACTCGTTTTCTTTACGAAAAATATCGCACGGTGTCAATTTCGTGTTGTGACAATACACGAAATAAACTTTCGTTTTAGATACAAAATGGTGTTAGTTTCGATGTTGATTAGGAACCGGCATTTGCTAATTATTTCTATCTGATTCCATCCGTAAGGTCCGTATGTATACTCTCTAGTATTATACGTGATAGTTTGGAGCAGCAGCGGCCAACACACAGTTTCAACGCTTACATAATGGCTGCGACCTAATGCGCAAACATCAATATACACCCGTGTCTGCATTCAACAGCAATTGAAAATCTATCTACAATAGACACTAATTGAACAATGTCAGTATTATTTTTATTATAAATTTCAATTCAATTGTATATGGTTCATTTTCATTTTTTAGCATTGATAGATAAATAGACTAAAAAATAATAATGATAAACTAAAATAAAAATGTGCGTCGCGATATGTACCTATTAGACACGCGTTGACTTACTTTAAAAAGTTAATACGTTAAGTGAGTGCAGTTATACATTCATAACTAGCATTGCGCAGCCAATATATACGCATGAATACTAATTGCATTCAAAGATCAATCCTAGGTGTTATGATTTAAATCGCGTTTTGCAACGTCAGAGGATGATTGTGAGTCGCCCCGTGACCGTTATGTGCTGTGAAATCGTCCTCGATTAGTTTTGGTACATTTTCAGGCAATTTTGTTTGACTATGTTCAGCGGACATGCGCTCTGTTTGTATGAAGTTGGCCGATATGTGACCAACGTTAGAAGTTGGTTCCAATACGTGCTGGACGTTACCGTTGTTTGTTTCCGTTGGCGCGTTGGCGTTTGGTGAATTATATATAACTTGCTGCTTGTTGTTTGTTGCGGTCGTATGCGCTTGGGTTTTGTCCTCAATCTGCAATTGATGCACATTTCATTACCATTTCATTTAAATTTTATGCAAAATCGCTAATTTTTACATCTTAACGCTAAATGGGTCAACATGAAAGGTAAACTGAACAGCATTCTGGTTAAAAGAAATAGATTACACTTTCGCATTGCTTTCGATTAAACACGCGGTTCACATTATAAAATGCACGTAGGATATAAAAAAACCTTTTTGGATACTTGGTGTTTTAGTCTCAAAAAATAAAAACAAAAAATTTTCAATAAAGCATAGTTGTTAATTTTTCACCTGTTTACCTAATAAAGACGAGCAGAGAAACACCGGTGTTTCAAACAAACCTACCTATAACAGGTATATGTCAGCTTTAAAGTTAGACTTTTTGACTTTTTGACTTTTAGAGAGTTACGGTCTTATTCATAAAAAGTTATGACACATCTCAAGGCTCGCTATAGTATGATTTAACAAAAGTCGTATTCATAAAAGCACTTTAGCGCTAAACCGTTCTATAAACCTATCATAACTTTATAGAAGCCAGGACCCTACTATAACAGTGTTGTAAGAAAAAAATGGCGGACTCTGAACAGCTGATTAATAAGTAAACGAAAACGACTTGACGTTCAGTATTTCAAGAAATTTAAAACATACTTCTGTAAAGCAAGCTTACTTATTTATAATCACAGATTACTTCATAATGCAAGCCTTACAGAGCTTAGATGTTATTGAAGTGATTGAAGAACTTGAAAACCGTCCGCTTCGAAGAAAGGTGTACAAAAATAGGAGTGATCCATTTTCTTTGGAAGATGAGGACTTTCAAAAGCGTTATCGCTTTAGTAAATCTACAGCGACTTTTATAATTAACCTTATACGTGACGATCTTAAATTAGATCATAGAGGTTGTGGTACGTCTCCTGAAATTCAGGTATTAACTGCCATAAGATGTTGGGGTCGTCGAGAGGCAAGTACCTATTAATTATAATTATTGTGTTGCTTTATACTTTTCTATTATATCTATGTCTCAAAACCTTTTCTAAGTCATCAATTTTAATTACAGGTTCAAGAAGATGCTGGAGACCACCACGGATTGTCTCAAGCGACCACCAGTAGGATTTGTGCAAGAGTTGCAAAGGCAATTGCAAAACACTCGGCTTCTTTTATTAAAATGCCCAGTACGTTTGCTGAAGAAGAGCGTGTAATGAGAGAATTTCGTGGTATACGAAATTTCCCAACTGTTATTGGTTGCATTGACTGCACACATGTAAAAATTCGCAAATGTGGAGGTGATGCAGCCCAATATTACATAAATAGAAAGGGATTTTACTCTCTCAATGTTCAGGTGCTTATTCTGCTACTATTTTGAGTCTTATTATGAAAAACAAATTCAAAGGACATAATATTTTCCATTTTGATATTTATTTAATATTGTTTATGTTTATTACAGGTAACTTGCGATGCACATCTCCGTATCCGGGATATTGTTGCTAGATGGAGAGGTAGCACACATGATGCCCGCATCTTTAATGAGTCATTACTCAAAGAGCGTTTTGAGAGAGGCTCATTTAGAGGGCGTCTTTTAGGTGACTCCGGATATAAATTAGAACCATATCTCTTTACTCCTATTCTAAGGCCTCAAAATCGAAGTGAAGAAAAATATAACCAATCTCATATTGCCACACGAAATACTGTGGAACGCTGTTTTGGAGTATGGAAACAACGGTTTCAGTGCCTATTATTCGGCATGACATGCAGTTTAAATAATGTCAAAACTACTATAGTTGCTCTAGCAGTCCTTCACAACATAGCAGTTGACCATGGAGACATGCAATTAGAGGGTAGCAGTAATAGCCGTGCAAACGAAGTAACCCAAGAAGTTACAAGGGGAAGTGCAAATGCTAATGCTGTTTTACAAACTTTTATCAGTAGACATTTTAGTGAGTAGTTCAATAAAAAATTTATACAAATATCAGTTTAATTTATTTTTATAATAATTTAATTTGTGTTTAATAACATCTTCCATCAAAAGCAAATTTTTTAATTTTTGATGTTCATTAACCATCTGTGCCTCATGTAGCTCTTTTCTGCATGCTGTTTCAGTTTCTGCTATTTGAAGTGCAGCACTTTCCTTTTTTGTATTACTGATCTGAAATACAAAATTAATACAATAAGGTTTTTTCTGTGTTTCATATTAGTTATAAATGTGTCCAATCCAAGCTGATCAGCACAACTTTGCCCAGTTCCCAACTTTTCCCGTGAACTTTCCAGAAATATAGACATACAAACCTTCTACTAACAATTTACAAACAACCAAAACAGACTTAGCCAAATAGATGCAGCTGATCTGAAGTTATGCACGTACATACATCTTGGCAATTGATTTTTATTTACATAGTCATCAGAAATCAAGGTCAAAAGATTTTTACAACAATTATCAAATAATTTTAAGCTATAATAGGTATCAAGATAAAATGATTTAAAATTTTATTTCATTTCACAATACATACCTTTTTTTTTTTCAATTTAGAAATCGGAATCTTGGGTTCTGTGCAAAACTCGCTTTGTTGCTTAGATGTACTTTCTTCCAATATCTAAAGTAATAAAATTAAAATAAATAAGACTGCCTAATTGATTTTCGAAATTGCAATCTTGCTAGACACTAACAGCAAACTAATGAATGGATTATTATGAAATTTAAGTTTAAAATCCTTTAGGTGTTATTTACTAATAAATAATATAGAATTGAACTGGCAAAAAAATTTTAATTAATTAACTACTAATTAATTAATTTTTAACTACTGTAATAATAATATAATACACATACTATTTCTGGCATGTTGTTTTGTTTTATAATTACATCACATGGACAGGGTTCTTTTTTTTCATTTTGTTGGTCATGCTGTTTTTCCTTATAATCTGAATTTTTCTCTAAAAAATTCTGAAACCAAAAATACACATTATTCTTTAATCAGTACGGAATACTTACTGAACCAGTAGATATGTGTAATTTTAAAATGCACCTGGTTATCTGAATCAAACTGATTCGAGTCCACTGTGAATGCATGAGGAAGCCACACAGCAATATCATCTCCACTTGGAGGTTCAGAAGCAGGTGGTGGTCCACCACCTGTTTGGAATCTGTCTTTCCGCTCTAGGAATTTTCTTTTTTTTTCTGTCATTTTGATAATGCCCCATTGAACTTTTATTTGTTGCAAGGTTCTTGAAGTTTTGGCCATACTGTTAAAACTGGAACATAAATTCTGTTTTTAAACAAATACACCAAATTCCTCTTCAATAGATGGTTATTGAACATATTTATGTATTAGATACTTCGTATGTAGATCATGCCAGGCCGCCACCTTTTTCGCGTTGGTATTTGCATCAGTGTTTTTATTTTCCAACGTTGAAACCCGCTCCTTGACCAATTCTTTTAAAATAAACTAAAGAAAATAGAAGCAAAAGCAAAAGTAAGTAAAAGATATTGAGAATTTATACAAAACAAAACTTCCTTGAATCAACTTGTACGTGAATCAGTACAAACCTTATCCTCCTCCAACCAATTTTCACTTCTTTGCCTTTTCATTTTAAAGATGCACTTGGAAGATTTGTTTTAATTCAGTTAAGTTCTTGATTTTTTGGCCGTTGTTTGTTTAACTCTGCCAATGTAAAGACGATTTGATCAATGCGCGCTTTATTTGTTACAATAACATTGACGTATCCAGACGTATCTGTCAAAGGTATCACCGTGTCGTAGACTAAATATGAATTTTTAATCCATCATAATGTCTATGGTCACGCTAAATCAGTGCGATCTCACCATGATCTCACTGACATTGTAGTTTGTTGATAAATTTTTTGGTTGACTTCATTAAAATGGCAACTTTTTGATTTATAAACGAATTTTAACAGCATAATAGTTGTAGGAAGTTTATAGAACGTTTATGAATAAACATTGTTATCAAACGTTTTAAAACCTTATAGAGCATTTTAACTAATGAGTGTTTTAAACCTATGATAAGCTTTTTTTATGAATAAGACCGTTAGAGTTTTTCGTACCAAAAGGATAACCATAAAAAAACCAATAGCATATACGTAATATAGCTTGTAATGAATATTATGATGTTTTACTACCATGATATTAATTTATTTTTGTGAAATTACTCCACTGATTTGTTATAATTATTAATACAAAGATCAAACACAAAGAAAAATTCCTTCGATATGACAGGATTAAAACCTGCGTCAGTGCCATACTAAGTCGACCGCTCTCTGCAGGTTCGAGTCCGAAGGAATTTTTCTGTGTTCAATCTTAGTATTCATAATTATAGAACCTCGAATATAATTCACACCAATGTTGATAAAGTAACCACAAGTTGTGCTTTTTTCCAAATATCTCAGTCACGCAATGACGTTACCAAATGTATACTTTTAACAACTGTTCTATATAATTCGCCTGTGCTTAGAAATAAGTTTGTTGAACATTACATACAATAAGAACTATTCGTTCCAATATATTAACACCAAACAACTTCATTGAGTAAAATAACAGATAACTAATTTTAAACGTATTTAAGTCGAATTTTACTAAGTGTAGTAAAATTGTGTAGTAAAGTAGTGTGCAATTCTGCGTATGACTTTAATAAAACTGAAGCAAACGAGGGTAGCTTCTAGACGGCGCCGCCTGCGTTCAATGCCGTACTGAGTGATCGGGCTACCAGGGCATTTCCGCGCAGTTTCCGTCGAGTCACCGCCGCAGAATCTCATGATTAAGGACCACGAATTGGTTCGAAACATGTCGAACAAAAATTCGACTTAAGTACGTGAGTTATCAGTTATTTTAATTAATATGTCTCACGGTCGTTTTCTATGAGATTTACAAAACTTTGACTTAAAAACGTACTTTGACTTCGACTAAGCCAAAATGGCGAGGTAAACAAGTTTTTCGTATAAAACGAATTTTGAACAAAAAATTACGATATATTTATTACTAAAATTTACATTAAAAAAATTACAAGTAA